CTACTCATCCACCCAGCACCTCTAAAACCTCTAGTGAATGCATAGATTCTAAGTCTCCCCCAGTGTTTTGCTTTGGATGGTCTCATATTTTTGTTGTTCTCGTCTTTTCTTTGCTTTGCTTAATTGTTTTTTTTAAATTATAAGATACACATATTGTAAAATTCACCATTTTAATCATTTGAAAGTGTATAACTCTCTAAGCACAGTGGTGCACACCTTGACCCCAGCTATTTGGGAGTCTGAGGCAGGAGGATTCAAGTTTGAGGCCAGTCTCCGCAACTTAGCACAACCCTGTCAGAGAGAGAGAGAGAGAGAGAGAGAAGGAGGAGGAGGAGGAGGAAAGAAAAGAGGGCTTGGGGATATAGCTCAGTGATTCAATGCCCAGTGCCACAAAATTTAAAAAGAAAGAAAGAACAAGGGAGGGAAGCGTGTATAACTCAGTAGCATTAAGTACATAACTTTTTCTTTTATTAATTTTATTTATTTATTTGTTTGTTTTTATGTGGTGCTGAGGATTAAACCCAGTGCCTCACCCATAAGAGGCAAGTGCTCTACCACTGAGCCACAATCCTAGCCCCAACTTTTTCTTTTTAACTAATCTTGATGTGCAAAAAAGTTAGAGGAATGTTGCAAAGAACTCTCTGGAGCCTTCTCCCAGACTCACCAGATGTTGCACATTTGCTTTCTGTTCCCTTCTTCCCTTTACATAGATAGACAGATAGGGAGGGAGGCAGGGAGGGAGAGGCACCCAGTAGGAGTAGAAATGAGAGCTGGCTATCTCTATGTTTATGATATAGTTTCTTCCTGAACCATGGAAGTGTACATTGAGACCTGTGTCCCTTTATTCCTAAGTACCTGGGCATGCATTACCTAAGAACAGAGCAGATCTCTGCAATCTGCAGGAACTTGGTGTTGATACAATGTGCTTTTTGTATTGGGTTATTCCCAATTGTCCCCCTAACGCCCTTCATAGCATAGTCCTCCCTCAATTCCAGAATCCAATTCAGATTCTGGACCTAGCGTGGAAGTGTAACCCTAAAGTCTTCTTTCCTCCTCCTCCTCTTCCTCTTCCTCCTCCTCCTCCTTTTCTTTCTCCTCCTCCTCCTCCCCTCCTCCTCCTCTTCCTCCTCCTTTTCTTCCTCCTCCTCCTCCTCCTCCTTTTCTTCCTCCTCCTCCACCTCCTCCTCCTCCTCCTTCTCCTTCTTCTTTTCCTGTGACACTGGGCATTGAACCCTTGGGTGCTCTACCACTGAGCTACTGGGCTACTACCCAGACCGTTTCATTTTGAGACAGGGTCTCACTAAGTTGTCCAGACTGGCCTCAAACTTGAATGGTCTTGCCTTAGCCTCCCGAATCCCTGGGACTATAGGCATGTGCCACCATGCCTGGCCCAAGTTCTGTTCTTACTGAGGCTTCACCTCATTCTCAGCTCAAGGAGGAGGGTAGGACATTCGGCACCCACAGGGATCAGTGCTGTCCCTATCTGCACATTGCATGCTGAAAATGTCAGGCCAGTGCACTCAATACCAGCTGCTTGGTTCCCCGGTGACCAGCAAGTGGGAGATTAACCTTCATAATCTATTTTTCTGGGACCAAGATTCAGATGCGTTTGCACTTGCCTTCCCGGAACACACACCAATGGAAGCTGCCGCTCAGTGAACTCATGGGGTTGTGAGAGGGAAGAACGGGCTGGGAGCTCCTGAAGGCATGAGGCTGGCTTTGGGACCTTCTCCAGGAGTCAGATGGCTGAGACTGTGGTGAGGTGGTTGGTGTGGACTGAGACCCCTCATGGATGAGGTGGGACCTAAAGCCCAGATCTCCACCTGACTTGCTCTGACAAGCTTCTTAGGAGAGGCTGCTCCCAAATTATCAAAGAGTAATTCCAAGAAGGCGCACTTAGCAACACAGGGTCTCAATGCATGGGGCCGTGGGCTCCTAGAGGGCAAAGCTGAGTACTCCTTTGGGTCTTGTCAGTGTAGATGGGTGTAGACAGCAGACTGCTCCTTTTTTTTTTTTTTTTTTTTTTTTTTGGTGGACACAACATCTTTAGTTTGTTTTTATGTGGTGCTGAGAATCGAACCCAGTGTCTCACGCATGCTTGGCAAGCGCTCTACCACTTGAGCCACATCCCTAGCCCCAGACAGCTCCTTTTTAACCACAACAGCAGCTAGCCTTTATTGAGCTTTTATGATCTGCCAAAAGCGATGTGCTTCTCATCACTTAGTCATCATGACTTCCCTAGAATGGGCGCATTTTATTCTTTTCACCATTTCAAAGATGGGAAAATGCAGACAAAAAGCTCAAGTAACTCACACAGCCCAGTAGCTAAGATTCAAATCCAGACCAGTTGGCTCCAAGGCCAGTGCTCTTCCCTGTACCAAAACCCCAGAGAGGCTCAGCTAGTCCCTGAAGGACGAGAGATTTTAAGAGAGACAAAACACCAAGGAATGGGAACTCCAGACCTGGGTTTGATTATACTGGTTGTGTGACTTTAGGCAGCTTCCTAAACACTTCAGCTGAGCCCAGTGGTGCACACCTATAATCTCAGTGGCTCAGGAGGCAGAGGCAAGAGGATTATGAGTTCAAAGCCAGACTCAGCAATTTAGCGAGGTGCTAACAACTCAGTGAGACCTTATCTCTAATAAAATACGAAATAAGGCTGGGGATGTGGTTCAGTGATCAAGTGCCCCTGAATTCAATCCCTGGTACTCCCCAACTCCCCCCCAAAAAACCATTTCTATGGCTCAGGTTCCTCAACTGGTAAATATAGTATCTTTTTCATAGGTTAGAGACAGTATGTTTAGAACATAGTGCAAGTAGCAATTATTATTATTGTTGTTGTTGTTTTTATTATAAGTAGATGTGAGGCCTAGGAAGGGTGGCACTCGCCTGTAATTCCAGAGACTCAGGAAGCTGAGGTAGGAGGATCACAAGTTTGAGGCTAGCTTCAGCAACTTAGTGAGACCCTGTCTGAAAATAAAAAGTAGGAAGGGCTGGGGATGTGGTTCAGTGGTTAAGTGCCCCTGGGTTCAATCCCCAGTATCAAAAAAAAAAAAAAAAAGAGAGAGAAAAGAAAGAAAGAAATAGAAGTAGAGGCAGTGAGTAGGTCTCCAGGATGAATGTGGACTCTAGGGTACAGTTCTGGAGGGCGGCGGGGCGGAAGTCAATCTGGCTAGAATGTGAGATGGGTGTAATGGGTGAATGGAAAAGAAAAGTCGGCTGGGAAACAGGAGGCTAGGTCATTGAGAACCTTGAAAGCTACCATAAAATGCCCTCCAGCTCTTCAAAATGACAGGTGTGTGGACTTTGTTGACATATGGAAATGTGTGTTTGGAAAAAAAACCAGAATGCAAAATAGTCTGCTACGCTCTGTTACGTTTAGAGATCAGAAGGGCATCCGTGGTGCTGCAGGGTGCCAGTTTGCCACCTTCTTATTTATTTTTCTGTAAATACCTAATGAAAACTAAGAGTAAACAAGAGGTCAGGCTGAGGGCTTTAGCTTTTAACCTGTGGATATCCATGGGGAATCACTGCAGATTCTATTTTCTCTTGTTTTTCTTTGAGATTTAATTCATATACAGTTGACCCTCACTATTTTATTTGCAAATTTTCCTGGTGGCTCAAATTTAATTGTAACCCCAGAATTGACACAGACATAGCTCCTAGGGTCATTCTCAGACACACACAGAGTGGTAAAAATTTTGAGTGGCCCAATGTACATGTTCCCAGCTGAGCTCAAACAAGAGGACACTTGCCTTCTTGTTTCAGCTGTCATTATGTAAACAGGTGTCCTTTTCTATTTAGTGCTTATGTTTTTTCATATTTCTGGGATTAGTGGTTTTTGTTTTTTGTTGGTGCTGGGGATCGAACCCAGGGCTTTGTGCATGCTAGGCAAACACTCTACCAACTGAGCTATTGCCCCAGCCCCCATGTTTTTTCATATTTCTATGCTTTGTGTGTGTGTGTGACTTAGTGGTTTAAAATGCCTTCAAGTTGGGCTGGGGATGTGGCTCAAGCGGTAGCACGCTCGCCTGGCATGCGTGCGGCCCGGGTTCGATCCTGAGCACCACATACAATCAAAGATATTGTGTCCACCGAAAAACTAAAAAATAAATATTAAAATTCTCTCTCTCTCTCTCTTAAAAAAAAAAAAAGCCTTCAAGTGTAGTGCAGAAGCACCTTTTTTTTTGGGGGGGGGGGTACCAGGGATTGAACTGAGGGGCACTTAACCACTGAGCCACATCCCCAGCCCTTTTTTGTTTTTGGGTTTTTTTTTTTTTTTTGGGGTTTGTTTTTGAGACAGGATCTCACTGAGTTGCTTAGGGCCTTGGCTAAATTGCTGAAGCTGGCTTTGAACTTGTGATCCTCCTGTGTCAGCCTCCAGAGCCACTGGGATTACAGGTGTGTACCACCCAGCTCAACAGTATATATTAAATCAACAATATATATTAAATGTCTTTAATCAGAAGCCCACAAAGCAAAGTTATGTATTGATCAGTTGACAAAAAGTTGTAACTAGAGGTTCACGGAAACCTAACCCTGTATTTCCTCAGGAATAGTGATTCCATATTCAATATTGTGTTGGCTGCAACTTTATAGAATGTAACTGTCACCGCTAACGAAAATTGCAGGGCACCGTGGCGCACATCTGTAATCTCAACAACTGGGAGACTGAGGCAGGAGGGTCGCAAGCTTGAGGCCATCCTCAGCAATTTAGGGAGACCATATCTCAAAATAAAAAAATAAAAGGACTGAGGGTGTGGTTCTGTAGTAAAGTATCCCTGGGTTCAATCCCTAGTACCTAAATAAATAAATAAAAGAATTGACTATACCACCAGATTTACCTGTTTAAATTCATTCTTTTTAATGTATGTACAAGGTGGTACAACCACAACCACATCGTCACTGCAGATTTTCAAGTAGTAAGATGGCCTTGCAGAGTGACTTGAGAATTGCCTGTCCATCTTTCCCTGTCTCCTGACCTCTCTGGTTCCTTTCAGAATGCCCAGGAGAGCCATGGGCTGGCTGTGCCCACCCCTTCTGTCCCAGAAGACTTTGCAGACAAAGAGGTGACAGGTAAGAAGGCTCTGGGTTTGGGTTTTCAGCATCTTTCTTCCTTCTTGGACCCTGAGCCCCAAAGCCAAGTATCTGACCCACCTCTCCAGCTGGTGGCACAGCCAGAGCCCTTAGGCCTCTTGGCCATGGTTGTGATGGGTGGGAGCAGCGGGGAGCTGAGGAGAGCCAGGGTTGGCCAAGGCTACCGGAGGAGGAGGGGAAAGGGATAGTGACAGAACTGGGCTGCAGAAGGAATCAGAGAGCTGTGAAATGGTAGGAAGTATTCTGGCATCCAGTGAACCTGGCTTGGAACCCCAGCTCCCCCATATTCCCTTTGCCTCCTTGGGCAAGACAGCCTCTTGCACCTCTGTAGCTCCCAAGGAACGATGGGCAACAGTGCCAGCCCTGGAGGAGTAAATTAAGTGTTGGATGGCATGGAAGTCACACTGTGCTGACAACCTGCCAGTGACTTCCAGTGTCACTCAGAGGACTGCTGGGTTTGGCTCATCACCTGCTCTTTCCCCTCCCACACTGCCCCTGGGCACTTAAGAACCCCAAGCATATTACCACCTGGGGGGCTTTGCTCTGCTGTGCCCTCTGCATAGAGAGCACCAGCGACCCCTGCAGGGCTGTCCCTCCCTGTGCTCCAAGGTCACAGGCTCTTGGAGACCTTGCCTGACCATTTTAAACCGCACCCTCAGCCTCTCCCTGTTTTTTTTACCCAATACATTCAACATCTGATGTGGTCATAACTTATGGATGTATTGATTGTGTTCACTGCCTGTCCCCTTGTCCCTTTAAAGTATAAGCCCCAGGAGAATCACGGGTATTTTGTGTTTTTGTTTTGTTTTGTTGTTTACTGCTCTATCTCAGCTCTTAACTCAGAGCTAGACACCTGGGGGCTTTGTGAATGTGAGCTTCTCCCTCCCCCACTCTTGGTCTTTTTATTGTTTGAAGTCAAGACAACTGGGAGGAGCCCTTCAGAGCTGTGCCTTCCCCAGGTATGCCATACTGTGCAGGGCACTGAGAGGAGGGACACAGAGGACAGTTGTCCCTAAGAGGGAGGTAGACTCTGGGGAGCCTAGGTTGCCCAGGTCACCCCTGTTCCATCCAGCAGTCCAAACTCTGCTCCACAAGTTCTCTGTGGGGTTCTTGGTGGACTCAGGGTTTTTAGAGGCAGGAGTTATTTATTCATGCATATGTCTCCCTCCCAAGGGTCTTTCTCAAAACCTTCCTCCCCTGCCCCTGCCCCTGCCCCTGCCCCACGGCTTCCTATCTCTGTCTCATGTGCCCTGTTTTAAGCTGAAAAGTTAAGCAAAGATGCAGTAGTGGTTACCATTTATGAAGTGCCTCCTAGGGTACCATGGTAAGCTCTCTGCATGAATTTATAGGAATTTACTTAGTGTAAGTGCTAGAGGGGGTTCAGGCCTGGTGAGGGCCTCTGGGGGTCCACTCCCAGGAGGCTAGGAAACAAGAGATTTTGCTGCTCCATCGCTTGATGTTCAGGAGGAAAAGGCTGAGAAGGGCCAGTGCTTCTCTCTGACCCTCAGCCCTGTGTGCACAGGCCGCTCCAGGTCCCCTCTGCATCTCTGCCTCTCCCTTCTTTCAGGTACCAGCTCACTGGTCAATGGCAACCTCCGACTGTACAGCTCTGTGGGTGACCTGAGGCCTGAGCACTATGGCCTTAATCTACTCATCCCCCCACCTCCCCCAGGCCCAGCCCCAGGGCCACCCCAGGACATTTCACAACCTCCAGTGGAGGCCCCACCACTGCCTCCACCTTTCACAGCTCCCCTACCACCTCCTCTGCTGCAGGAATCCCAACCCCCACCCCCACCCAGCACGGCCCCACCTCCACCTCCAGTACTGGACACCCTATCCCCCCCTCCCGCTCTCTCCCCGCCCTCCACTCCCACCCCTCCTGACTTCATTCCCCCTGCCCCACCACTGGCCTTTCTAGCCCCTCCGCCACCCTCCTTGCCAGCCCCAGCACCCCCAGCTCCAGTGTCTCCTCATGTGATGGGGACTCATCACTTTCCCCCTGGGGGTGTCACCAAGTGGAAATCAGAGGTAGCACTGAATGGCAGGCAGTCAGAGGCCCCTAGAACCAGTCCCCCCAGGAGCCCTACTGAGCTAAAAGGGAGCCAAATGGGACCTAACCCAGAGCCTCATCTCACCTTCCCCCGTTCATTCAAAGTGCCTCCCCCAACCCCAGTCAGGACCTCATCTATCCCAATTCAGGAAGCACAAGGGGCTCCCCCAGAGGAAGAAGGGGCTACCAAGAAGGCTCCCAGCCGCTTTCCACTGCCTCCTAGCTTCCACATTCGTCCCGCCTCCCAGGTCTATGCAGACAGAGTCCCTGAGCCAGACCACCCCAAGGAGCCCAGGGCAGAGGCACCAGCGCCAGACAGCCCAAGGCTCAGCCAGCCAGCAACCAAGGAACAAGCAGGGACTCCAACCCCCGCCCCTCCCCTACCCCCTCCTGCGCCCCCCCTCCCTCCCCCTGCACCTCCCCTTCCTCCGGGGGCTTCTCCTTTGCCTTCTGCTGGGCAGGCAGCCCCTCCACCTTTCAGGTTTACCAAAAGCCCTAAATCCAGCTCACCTGCTCTCAAACCCAAGCCCAGACCCCCCAGCCCGCAGGACACCTCCTCTTCAGAACCTGTGGACTGGCGGGATCCCAGCCAGATGGAAAAGCTGCGGAGTGAGCTGGCAGCCTATCTCTGTGGCTCCAGGAGTCACAGGCCAGGCCCCAATGTGGCCTCTCAGGACAAAGAGGGCAAGAAGGGCCTCAGTCAGCTAGAGGAGGCAGCCCCCACCAGCCTGCCAGAGAAACCCCCACCAGGCGCTCCTGAGAAGAGTCCCTGTAGCAGCAGTGTGCCCCTACCCCCAGTGGACTACATCCCCCAAGATGCACCAACCCCCAGTGTTCGACAAATCCGGAATGAGCTGGAGGCCAGGCTGGCCTCAGCTGCAGACAAGGAGACCAAGCCCAGCATCAGGTCTCTACCACCTAAACCTCGGCTGGAAGGGGGAAGAATTTTTGAAAATGGGACTGTTAATGGCAAATTCTCCAAGCCTGTACCCAAGAATCCACCAGCTCTACCTACCATGCCTCTTCCAGCCACATCACTCCAATCCAAAGACACACCTGTGCAGGCCACACCACCCAAGGCCACACCTGGGCCAGCCACACCACCCAAGGCCACATCTGGGCCAGCCACACCACCCAAGGCCACACCTGGGCCAGCCACACCTCCCAAGGCCACATCTGGGCTGACCACACCTGAACCAGCCACACCACCCAAGGCCACACCTGAACCAGCCACACCACCCAAGGCCACATCTGGGTTGATCACACCTGAACCAGTCACACCACCCAAGGCCACACCTGGGCTGACCACACCTGAGCCAGCCACACCACCCAAGGCCACACCTGGGCTGACCACACCTGAGCCAGCCACACCACCCAAGGCCACACCTGAGCCGGCCATATCATCTGCAGCCACAACTCTGCCCATTAGGTCATCCCAACTGATGGCAGAAAAGGACCTCATCCCTGTAGGGCAGCAGCAGAAGACAGAATCTCAAGAGAGTATAGTATCCTCCCAGCCAGAAGCCAAGGAGCCCACATCAGAGGCCAATAGGCTGCCCATACCAGAAGCCCCCTCTTCTCCAGCCCTCCTACCAAAGATGTCCCCTAACCCAGAAGAAGTGCCATTTCTCTACAAGCCCCATCGCAACCAAAACAGCCCTAGCCGTGAGGTTGCTGTGGTGATGCCTACGCTGGCCAGAGGAGGGGCAGCAGAGTCAGAAGAGAAGGAGCCCCAGGGCCTGCCAGTCAAACCCCCTGCCCCAGCCCAGCCTGCTGACCAATTCCTCAGACACCCAGTGACTGGGGAAGTGGTGGAACAGGGCTCCCCCATGGCCCTGCTCTTGGCAGCCAGGCAGAGAGCACAGAAGGGGAGGTCTGGAGGGGCAGCCCTGGGGCGGTCTTCCCTGCCTGGGAGTCTCCAGGGCCACAGGAGCCATCCTGAGGCTAGCTCCGACAGCATCTTCTACAGCGATGGCCGGCCCAACTCCTTCACTGTGGTTCCCAAGTTACCCAAGGACGCTGAGAAGGACTCCCAGCTGACCTCGGCTGCGCCGCCCATGGCACCCAGTCAATGGAAGCCCCCGCAGGGAAGAGACCAAGAGCCAATCCATCGTCCCATGTGGACCAAGGCAGAGCCCCGAGTCCCTGTGGCCTGGGAAAGACCAGCTCTCTCCAACCTCTCCCATGGCCGCATGCTGCCCAAGTCCTCCTCCTCTCCACCCTCTCCTTCCTACAGGAGGAAGGACGAGGAAGAGGAAACGGAATTCAGCTTTGAGGTGATCCCACCGCCGCCAGAGTTCAGCAATGACCCCGAGCCCCCGGCCCCGGCCGTCCAGTACGTGGGCTGCCGGGGGTTCCCAAAACGGAACAACTTTTCAGACTTGGGGCAGCCCCTGGACGCGGGCCCTGCGGCCCCGCCGGCTCGTGGCTTCTCGCGCTTTCCCGGTGCGTTCTACTCCGGGGCCGGGGGCCTGGAGCGCTTTTCGGGCGGGGGCCGTTCGCTCATCAAGAAGCGCTTGTACGTCGGGGAGCCTCCCCGCAATCCCGGGCTGCCCCGTGGCGCCCCCGGCCGCAGCCTGAGCACTCCCAACTGCTTCGGACCGGCGCCCGGAGGGCCCTTCGGGGCGCCCGGAGGCCCGGAGATGCGGCGCGTCAACTCCGCGGGTCGCGCGCCCCCCGGCGGCTTGCACGCGCGCAGGCTGTCCCAGGAGGGCGCTGCCCGGGGCGCCGCGGAGGCCAAGTACAAAGCGCCGGGTGGCGGAGGCAGCGGAGGCGCAGACTACAGCTTCGTCCCTGCTACCAGCAGGTGAGCTTGGGGATCGGCTAATGGAGGTAGCCCGGGGTGGGAAGCCAGGTGATGTCCATGGAGGCACTGCCTTTGGACCAGAGTTGCTGACCAGGCCACGGCAGAGAAAGGGAAGAGAGGCTTCCTAACCTGGGAGGGGGCGGTGCGGGCCTTTCCTTACCTGCCCCCTTGTTGCTCTTGTTCGCTCTCCATGGGTTCCCTTCTGTCCCCCACTCCCGGGGCTACAGGTTAAATGTCGCATGGGGAAGATCTGAGTGTCCTTGGCTGGAGGGATTTCCCAATAACACGAAATGTACCCAGACCCCAGGCTAGGAGTGAAGGGCTCTGAGTTGAGTGGTATTAGGCATGTTCCCTGGCCAGGACCCAGAAAGAAAGGAAAGCCCTGTGTCTGGTGGACTGGGGGTCCCGCCCTGAGGTCCCTTGGGTCTCTTGCCCTAGGGAAGGTAAGCAGGGTGTTGGCAGATACAAACCTCACTGCTCTCTTGCTCTCCCCCAGATCTCCTCACAACACCTCCCATTATGGAAGCCCCATCAATACATTCACCGTGAGGCCTGGAACCCGTCATCCCATCTCCTATGCCTACTCAGGAGCTCACCGCAAAGCCACATCCTGAGCCCGGAATTCTTTCAGCTCTACTCCAAGGGGTTGGATCTGCGCACTTGTTTCTGTGGCGGGTGGGAGGGTTGCAGCAGGTATTAGCCTCACTCAGACATGGACGAGTCTGGCTCCCTGAGGACCCTCGAACAAATGAGCGAGAAGCAGTGGCCTAAGGAAGACTGAGTGGGCTTCTGTTTTCCCAGAGCACCAGAGCTGCTATGAACTGTATGCAGATGGGGGGGGGGGGGGGGGGGCAAAGGGAGAGGAGAGGAGAACGTTCAGGGCCTGAGCGCTGAGTTTCCGTTATCTGGTACTATTTACTTTAGCAAGATTTATTTAAAGCAGTTTTACAAGCATGGCCTATGAAACAGGTTCTAGAAGCAAAGGATGGGTGCTTACTCATGGGATGCCTCACAAAGGGCTGAGGACCATCCCTGTTGGGGTGGGTGCAGGTCACTATAGGTAGATCTCTTTAGCCTCCACCTGTTGCCACCAAGAGGCCATACCTGGGGTTCCTAGCTGCACGGAGGCAGACCAATACTATGCATGCACAACATATGGAGAAGGTGATGGAATAGAAGCCTTTTGCATTGACCAAGGCCACAGACAGGTTAATTTCTCCTTGACCCTGGCCCTTAGCTACAGGGAGACCCACAGAGAAAAGACTTGGCAGTTGACAGGATCACGTCTTGATTTTTTTAAATTCAGACTCATGCATCCCTGATTTGGGGGAGCATGCCCAAGGAGCCAAAAGATCCAGGATTCAACACCAGAGGTCCTACATGGCCTGGTTTCATATGGGATTCGGAGGGGGCATTAGTTCTAACCCCAATACGTCACCAATATCATTGATGCCTTAAAATGTGTAGTGAAGACTCTGGAAGGCCTTGGAGAGTAGAAACTCAAGAGAAGTTTATTGTTGATGGGGAAATAGGTTTCAAAACATTAAGAGCGGTAAGACTGGGCCAGTCCAGAGCAGGTGAAACTACAATAGGGTAAGAATTGGTCCTTTGCCTGGGCAGTCCAGGTTTATGCCTGTTTCCATGAATTAGGCCCCTTGTATTTTTTAAAAAATTCCTATCTTCAGGTCAAGTTCAGCTGAATACCTGGGACCAGGCCAAGGCTGCCTTTCTAAGTAAGAAGGAGGGCAGGGGAGTGACCCACCTCATATGAGCAGGCCAGTAGGGGGCCGCCAGAAAGCAGCTCCCTTTGGGAGTTGACTCTTTTGATCTATGGTTACTAGCTGAGGTACTGGGTTGCAGCAACAGCAGTCAGTCACTTCAAGGAAAGAAAGTGCAAGGAAGGTGGGCACCCAGGTGACTAAGGCCAGCCACTCTAAGTTCTGGTTACCTGTGTTCAGGCAACAAATCCCATCCCAATACCAGCACTGGCTCTATAAATATGTATGTATTTCCTCTACACAATGTTTTATAAAAGAGTTCATTCACTAATTTATCTGCTACATTAAGGCTTGAGGAGTAGGGTGTGGACTCCCAGCTGTAGACTGCTCTGGGGTGGGTGGAGAAGGGCTTGGTCTTAGTTGGCTTGGGAAATAAACAGGCCAGTTTGGATTGGCCTCCAGCTCTGTGGCTGTGGATTGCTGACTCAGAGTCCCTGGGTGTGGCGGGATGTTGGGCGGACTGATCTGGGAATCACGCAGCACTGGGTACCATCTGAACCAGTGAGCCATTACTCTTCTGACCCTTAGGTTTTCTTGTTCTCTAGATCCCTTGGGGGAAGGAGCAGAGCAAAAATCTGGTGATAACAGCTATGTGCTTAAACACGTCTCTGATTTCTTCTTTCATGCATGATAACAATAACTATCCCATAAAGCTATTGTGAGGATTACAGACAGCCATGCATCCATTTAACAAATATTTGGGTAACTGCTAAATGCCCGGCACTGTTTGCATGGATATACAGCCATCAACACACTGCCATGGTTCCTAGGAAAGAACATCATCAAGTGGCGGAGAAGAAAAAGAACACACAGAAACATCCAAAATTAGGACAGGTGGTGGGGAGGAAAGGAAAAGGACATGTGAGAGAGTAACTAGAAGGCGGGGAAGAAGAGAGAGTTGACTCTAACAGGGTGGGGAAGGAAGGCCTCCTGAAGTCCTGACGTGCAGACTGATGTAGGCAAAGCATCCAGCCCAGGCCTGGCACTCAGTTTTTTTTGATACCTGGCATCTTTGGGTGATGACTGCCTGTGTGAGTCAGCTTTCCGTCATTGTAATGAATACCTGAGGTGATCGACTTATAGAGAGAAAAAAACTTTATTTCAGTGCAGAGTTTTAACTGTCTCAGTCCATGATCACTTGGCTCCATGACCTGGGGCCTATGGTGGCACATCATGACAGGAGCATGTAGTGGAACAAACTACTCACATGGTGGCCAGGAAGTAAGAGAGGAAGAGCGGGGTGGGATCCCACTAGCCCCTTCAGGGCACACCTCCAGTGACTTGAAGGCCCCCCACTAGACCTGTCCAGTAGGGGCACACTGAGAACCAGGCGTCTATCACATGGGCCTTCGGGGAATATTGCAGATCCAAACCTTAGGGCTCCTTTACATTGAGTGTGGCCCATCATGTTTCCCAAGAGCTTTGGCAAGGTATCTTCCCCAGCCTCTCCTGCCGTGCGTGTTCCACAGAGCTGTTTTCACCCACTACCCACCTCCCCACCCCCCCAATTTTTTTAAATATTTATTTTTTAGTTTTGGGTGGACACAATATCTTTCTTTTACATTTATGTGGTGCTGAGGATCGAACCCGGTGCCTCGCGCATGCTTGGCAAGCGCTCTACCACTGAGCTACAACTCCAGCCCCGCCCCCAATTTTTATTTTCCAGAAACTAAAAACCAGGGAAGCTATCTCAAGGCGGTCAGTGACAGAGAGAGCTGTGCTTCCTCCTCGGCCTGGCATGGGGTGGGTGCTGGGAAACAGGATGGCTCACTTATTTAGCAGGTGGGGCTTCCTGGAAGGAACTCCCAGGCCTCTTCCCTATCCTTTGGGCTTCCTCATTCTCCTGTCCCTCACTGTCCCCCACCCACATCCTGGTGATAAAGAGTAAGGGCATGGGCTCTGTATCTGGTTCCCTCCCTCCTGGGTCCCTCTGAGCATTTCTTTCCCCTCATTTGCCACAGGATGGGCAACAGGGAGAAATGGTGTTTAACCGGGGTGGAGGTTGGAGGGAAGGATCCTACCTCCTGGTTCTGCCTCTTACAAGCTGTGTGACCTTGGTTCCACTGGCTCATCTGAATCTTGACATGTGTCTTAAATCTGCTGGGTCCCTTTTTTGAGAACTGACAAGAGCTATCCACCAGAGAGATGCCCACACATGCTGCTTATACGTCAAGCTTGCCACAGAGCCCCCATGTCTGGGCTCTATGGACGTCACAGTTGAAAACTCCTGATAAGACGGTAGCAACCATCAGCATTTACAGAACCTGACAGTGGGGAAAGTTGGAACCTTCCTGCGCCTACTCACAACAGTCCTCTAAAATACACAGTACTGTGCATTCCTGATTCCATTTCCTAGATCAGGAAAGGAGGACTCCAAGAAGGGAAGTGAGTTGACAATGGAGCCAGGAGAGGAAGAAGGGCCCCTGCTGGGGTCCTTCATTCCAGCCCCCTCCCCCCCCAGCTACATCCACCTTCCCCCAGCTGTGCTACCCCCTAAACTGGCCATCTTATCAGAGCAGGGGTGGGGGAGGGGCCAAGCAGGGGAAAGCCACTCCAGTGCCAAAAATGGTTGATGGACATGGGTGGAGCAGGGGTTCCTGGGTCAGGGTGGCCACGCCTTGATTTCCAAAATCTCCTCATTGCTCCTGGGTGTGGCTCCAACCCCAGTGGCCAGCACCCGGCCTCTTTTGTGAGGCCGATGCTGGTCCAAAGAAGCAACCCTGGGCTGGTCCCAAGCCTGGGTCTTGGCATCAGCAGTGTGTAAGAGGCCTGTTCTCTGGAAAAGGCTGAATTCTGCTTTCCCGAGGGCCAGGCCTAGGAGGGAGTCCTCCCTCACTGAAGGCCAGCCTCGGGCTCTTTTCTGTGCAAAGCTGTAGGGGAGAGGTGACTTGGAGCTGGAGGGGTGAGGGAGAGGCCAGCTCTGCTGAGCTGTTAGGCAGACCTGCCCTGACCTGCTTGTCCCACCTGCCTACCCCCAGCAGCAGTGGCCCCTTTCATCTCTGAAGCTCAAAGGAAATGCTGGCGTCCCATCATTAGTCAGTGGTGGGGGAAGGGTGGCCGCTGACACCATGCAGACAGCCTGCACCACCTCCCTGCCAGGCCCAGGAGGCCAGATGCTGCAGACCTGCTCGGCCTTGGCTTTAGATCTTGGGCTGCTTTTGCCAGGAAGGGGAGGAGACGTGCTCTTCTAGGTGAGGGGCGTGAACCAGACATGCATTATGTGTGCTCCCTGATTTACATGGGAAATCCAGGACCCCTCTGTGGATTCTCAGTGTCCTGGAGGCACAGATGAGCCACTCCCCACTCCCTCCTCTCTTTAAGAATTGTTCTGAGTTTCCACAGAACAGCTTGCTCCCCTCCTCTCCTGCCTTCCACAAAGCCCCCCTTCCTCCACCCGGCATCTCAGTTCCTAGCCCCAGATCTCCACCTTCCTTTTCTCTAGCTGCTTCTTCAGAATACTGTAACCGGCTTCTTACCTTGCCAGGGGTCACCTTTCTACTTTGGAAGTGCTTCTTGGACATGTCCACAAGGATGGATCTGCATTGGCCATCTACCCAAACCCAGCTTCTCCAAAAGGAATTATTCCTCTCCCATTTCCTTTGCACAGTTCTGAGACCAGAGCAGCCAGATTGATGGCCCCACTATCCCCAAGTGCTCATTCTGCCTCACTGCTTGGGCTTCATGGAAGACATCCCTCACCTGTGGGGACACAGTAGCTCCTGTTAAGGGCACCCCCACTGACCCACCCCACGCCCAAACACTGGTGTTTTTTTACTGTCTCTCCAAGAAGCTTACAATCTGCATAACTCATCACAGAAGCTCCAGGATCTAGCACA